TTATCAATGCGGTTTTGTTTTGTAGTGAGTAACCTATTGTGGTTCTTTTCTGCTTTTCGTTATTTTTTTCATATTAATTTCCAAGCTATATGTATTGTTTGGTAGATGTAATATACCGTAATATTTGCTTCAAATTTTAATTCATTCTCCACATTAAATAAAAATTTCTGTTGTTTCTTCTATCATAAAAAAAAAATAATTTATTATTTTTAGAAAACTTTTACAAGCAACAGTTAGGGCCAATCGTACAGGCCATTTTATGTGGATAGGTAGCGATTCATGGGGTGCTAAAGTATATCCGGTAAGAGATCAGGAATTCGCGGCAGAAGGTGCAATCACAATTTTGCCTTATAGAACATCTCTTCAAAGTAAGCTGATTACTTGTATCATGTTTACAATGTATTTTAAATTTTTTGTTATAGAAAAATTACTTAAACAAAAAATTTTTTATATTCATATTAGAAAATATTATTTTTAGGTTTTGACGATTATTATTTAAATCTTCGACCAAGAGTTGACAATGAATGTGATGGACAAAGTGAAAATAACGTGCCACATAAAGAATTGCCCGGAAAAATAGTGAATTGTCGAAATATTTGGTTTCGAGAATTTTGGTCTCAACATCATAAATGCAGTTTTAATGCAAACTTGTCAGCTGGTATGACACGTTGTACTGGTACGGAAGAATTAATTGATTACGAGCAAGAAGGATTGGTGCCATTTGTCGGTAATAAATATTTTTATTATTTTAGATCACAAAAATTAAATTTCAATTTTTTTAAACAATATTTATATAATTGAAATCAAAGAGAAGGATATTATAAAACTCAGTTCATAATATTCAAAAATTCTAGAAATAGAATTCAACAAACAGTTTATATTTCGAATTTATAACATCGATGTAAATGAGCATTAATGAATAAAATATTAATATATGAAACTAAGTGAATAAAATGTTATTACATTTAATTGATTTTAGTTGATGCAGTTTATGCAATGGCACACGGTGTTCATAATTTAATAGACGAAGAATGCGTGAATAATGGTAGAACTGCTCATTATTTGTGCGAAGATCTTCGTTCAGCGCCGGATGGTCAACAACTTCTTCAACATATTCGAAATGTTAGCTTTATTGGTAAGCATTGTTTTTATTATTTTGTTTTGTAATTTTGTTTCTTACTAATTAATAAACATTATAAAATTAATCAACATAATTTTCTTCATTTTCATATGACTTTTTATATTTAAATAACATTTAGGTCGTCAAGGTACTGAAATTAAATTTAAATCTGACGGTGATGCATATGGATTTTATAATATATATCAATATCAAAGAAAAGAAGATGGCCGTTTCGATTATGTTCTTATTGGAACATGGAAAGAGGAGTAAGTAAAATAAATTTTTTATTACAAATAAATATCATATACATTTTTTAAATGGTATAAAAATAAATCATATTTTTTTGTCTAAAATGTATATTTGTATTCTTATTTTTCAATTTTTATTCTTAGATTGGCACTTGATATTAATATGACAAGATGGGCAACAGGTGCTGGAGAAATGCATATCCCTCGAAGTTTATGCAGTGATAATTGCCCACTGGGTCATGTACGCAATTTTCAGGTAAATAAAAAAAAAAAATTCAACTTTGATATTTAATATAAAATTCCTTATAATGTAATAAACATTTTCAGGAAGCCTGTTGTTGGAGTTGTGTGGCGTGTCGTGAAGACGCTTACGTCTTTAACGATACTTGTCGCAGTTGTGGTCCCGGGTATGCTCCAGATGAAACAATGACAAGTTGCATCAAACTTACAGCAGAAGTTATTCCATGGACTAGTCCTTGGGCATTGGTACCATTAATATTCGCCTCAATTGGCATACTTAGTACTTTATTCACAACTGTAGTGTTCATTCGGTGCGTTCGCAAATTTATTTAAGATGCAATAACATACCTACAATAATTTCACTTTACAGATACTTAAAATTCATTTAAATAATATAACAATATAATGAACCGATAAACATTAATCAACCAATTAATTATTTTTCAGCTTCAACCGTACTCCTGTGATTATGGCATCAGGACGTGAGTTGTGTTACGTATTGCTAGTAGGAATTTTATCGTGTTATGGTATGAGTTTTGTAATATTAAGCAAACCAACTGTATGGAATTGCACATATCTGAGAATTGGACTTGGCTTATGCTTAAGCATTTGTTATAGCGCGATATTAACTAAAACAAATCGAATATCACGCATTTTTAACCAAGGTACAAAAAGTATAAAAAGACCTTCTTACACATCACCGAAGAGCCAAGTTGTAATTGCAATCGGTGAGTTTACAATTTTCAAAGGCATGCTTGAATATTTTTACAAAATAACCAAATTTGTAAATAATTGCAAATAAATATACAATTACTCACAAAAGTATCCGCTAAATCGAACTGTGAGTAGTATTATCATATCGTAGACAGACAGATAGTAGTCGTAATCAAACAATGAGTGGTACTAGCACGTTCTAGACGGATAAGCAGTGGTGATAGGCACGTTCTGGACAGATGTAGGCACGATCTAGTCGGACAGTAAGTAGTATTGGCACGTCTTAGTCGGACAGTGATATAGAAGTATTATAATCTTCTTTATTTAATTGTATATAATTTTTTAGTGCAGTGCATTTTAATTTAATGTATATTATCAATGTATATTAATCAAGGTTTATACTAGTACAATCTACAATCAATAATTCCAAATTATACTTTATTTAAACAAGTTAAACTTATAGCATACTAAAATGGATAGATACTTCTGTGAGTAAATGTAATAAATTAATTATATTGGATTAAATAAATGCATTAATAAAGAACGAAATAAGATTTCTGATATGATTTTAGAATAAACTGTCGATCTTGATATCGTATTATGTAACTCCCGTTTTTATAGGGATCACTGCAGTACAATTAATTGGTGTTATTGTTTGGTTAATCATTGAACCACCGGATACTACAGAAATTCATCCATATCCATTGTCAGCAGTACTCACGTGTCGTGTTTCCACATTTTCCCTAATGATGTCACTCGTCTACAATATGTTTCTAATACTTATGTGCACTTTATATGCGTTCAAAACACGTAAGATACCAGAGAATTTCAACGAAGCGAAATACATTGGTTTTACGATGTATTCTACATGCATTGTATGGTTAGCTTTCGTACCCATCTACTTTGGCTCAAACAATGATTATAAGGTCGGTACATACGAAATAACAAAAGACACGTATTATTTTTGCAGTTATGCGATCAATCTCTTATTTAATTAACTCTAATATTTAGCTTGAATTATAAAATTCTTTGTTATCAAAATTATAATTTACAAGGATAAAATTAGAAATAAAATGTCGTTACTGTCTCATTGTATTTCTCATAGAGATTAAAAATAAACAAGCACGAATATAAATTTACAGGTACAAATAGCAAGCATGTGTATGTGCATTAATATTTCCGCGTCAGTAGCTCTCGGTTGTCTCTTTACACCAAAAGTATATCTAGTACTCTTTCAACCATATAAAAATGTTCGACCTGGACATACTAATGTGAGTATATAATAAATTGAACGATAGTGATAACTCTCTTCCCAATTATTTTATTTTGAGATTTTATAGAAAAAAAATTTGTCCACTATATTGTAGACGAGTGCACTTCAAAGTGGTAACCGTGGAACGTACAGCATGCGATTTTCTGGCGGTCGTAGTCAAACGATGCAGAGCATGACCTCCTGTTCTCGAAGCAGTCCACCGGTATCACGTCCAAGCCAGGACGAGGTAAAACATGCCAACGGTGAGACACAAGCACTGGCGAGCCCGTCTGTCGAGGAGACCTCGGTTAGCTAGGTCTCTCTTATACACCTCCCTCCCTGTCTAGAGTATCAGGCCAGAACTCATGAGACTACCGTGGAGATATACGACGATGACGAAGAAGAACGCAAGCTCTCCACTATCCAGGAAGTGTCAGAATCAAGAGACATTTCCAGTCCTTCGATGTTCGCTGAAAATTGCCGAAATCGAAGTCGGAAATCGATTTCCAGCGATTCTGACCAGGTGATGGATGTTTCATTAAATAATTGTAAACGTAAAAGTTTTAAAAGCTTTTTAAGAAGTCAGTTAAAAATCGTGGACAAACTATATTTATTTGGATATACTATTAAGATATTGGCTGAATAAATATTTTCTTGCTTAGATTTTACACGCAAGGAGTATAAATTTTTCTAATTTATATTTTTATATCTATTTTCTTGAGTCGGGCGATCCAGTACGTAAAAATCGTATGGGAACAATTAGTTGCATCTCCGACAAAGTGGTGTGTTATAAGACAGAAGCAAACATTTTTCCCAGCGAAGATCAAACATTCCACGTCTACAGCGATTCACCGACTTTTTCCGATTTTTCATCATAAATCGCGACATTTAATGTCAAGGTAACGAAAAAAAAGAAAACTGTCATTTTTAATACGTGAAAATTCATTTAACAGTGCCAAGACGTCTTTTTAGCCTCGCATTTGTTCTTACAAAGACAAGTTTAGATATACAAATGTACATGCAAATGTGAAATTAATGATCAAAATATTTAAAAATCAAATATTTATCTTTTATATAGAGAACATTTACTTTTAATTTATTTAATATTATTATAATACTATTCTTGATTTTTTTCTTGACTTTTGTCAATAAAATTTATTTATTTATTTTAAGTTTTATTATAAGTTTTAAACTAATACAGTACTATAATATTAATATTAATATTTTTTATTAGTGCTATATTTACTATAGTACTGACATAAAAACAAAATAATTAATGTTATGTTGCTTCAGTAAACAAAGATAATCTTAATTAATTAGTTCCTTACATGTATCTCTTAGAAATAAATATGGCAATATTTCGTATTATCATATTCAATCAAAATTTATGACACATGTACAAAAATGTTTATACTTGTTTTATATTAAATATGTATAATATAATATTTATGAACTATTTTATGAAAATATTAAATATTTTATTGATAAAATTTATAATTATATTCTTTGATGTATAAAAATATAAATTATAAATTTCTTTATTAAAATTATAGAAATATTTTACTTTATTAGTTTTTGATAGCATACAGATTATTCTAGAAGTATGCAACAAACGAATTAAAATTTTTTCTAAAATCTGTTAGAATCACAGAATATTTAAAAATCAAATAATTATTATATTACATATTCATTGATCGAATAAATGGTTCATAAACATTTGTAAATCTTTTGAATTGTTAGGCACACAAGATATACATAAATGCAGATACTTGCAAGAGTAAATTTCGCTTGAAGTGATTTATAAGCATTTGTTGTTAAACTATGAGAAACAATAATCTCTCATCTACTGTGAATGTGCACAAAGAGCAAATTTTATTCCAAGTACCGACACTTTTTTAAAAACACTTGAATAAAATAATTGTTATTGTATACTTCCAATTAATCTGTATAAAGAAATCGTAATCAAGTAATTTCATTACATTTTATTACTTTTTGTTTTATTAATTTTAATTCAAAAGTTTTTTTTTTTGCTTATTTTAATTTATTATAAATTTTAAGTAATAATTTTATTTAAATGTGAAGTAATATTTTACATTTATGCGAAATAAAATATTCATTCAGATTACTAATAAAAAACAAAATAAAAATAAAAATTTTCAATTTAGACTGTAAATAATTATTAAATACTGTTGGTATTATATAATCTCAGGTAATTTCTTGTTGTTGTTTCGTTTTTTTATTTATTTTTTAAGTTATTATATTTATATTTTATAATTTATTTTATATTTTATATTTATATAAAATATTTATTTTGTTTATATATTTTCATATATTATAAAAAATCTTTTTAAATTATTAATCAAATATTGTACATTTAATGGAAAAATAAAATTTTTCCATGGTATTATACCAAAGTTAATAGATAATACAATAGAATTTTACAATAGTTAGTACAATAAAATATTGGAAATACAATGTCCAATATAGTAAATAAATGTGTACTTTTACAAATATATATAACTGCCGACTATTAAACAGTCAAAATAGTCATAAAGAACAAAATTAGACGTAGATCGTGTGTGTGTGTAAATGTGCGTGAATTTTTGTCTAAACATGTGCCAACGCTGAGAGAAGTTACATAAATAAATAAAATACTATATTATAAAATGATTTCGAATGAAGAAAAATTTGAAATAGGATGCCATATATTCACGTTCACAAATGTATTAAATTGTTAATGTTAATTATATAGATATTTATTTATCATATATTATTATATATTGTACAAAAATTAGAAATATATTATTTTATGTACTACCAATTTTTTAGAAAATTGTTTGACAATTAAGCCATGCATTAAGAGTTTAAAAAAGTTTAATATGATATCGCGAATATAATAAATTAATTTTTAAAAAATAATTAATTATACTCGCTAATATATCTTGAAAATATTGTGCTTATTGTTGAAACATCTCTGAAAATCATATAAAAGTCAAAATGATTAAACATTTTTGGTTGATTTAAATTATTATTTTTAATATTTATCGATAATTAATAAAAAAACAGTGTAACGAGTTTATATTTTAAAATTTCATATTCAAAAATTTAATATTTAAAAATGTTTTGTGATATTATTATTTTATTATTTAATAAATTGATAATAGTAATTATTTAATACAAATATATTTAATTTCATTCAGATTAATTTCCCAATGAAATTGAATAAAATAAAAAAATAATCAACAACCAAAAATGTTTAATTTTTATTTATATATAGATTAAATGAAAAATTTGGATTGTCACAGAAGCATAGACAACGAAAATTCTAGAGCCAATACAAAAATATTTCGACGAAAGTTCGAGATAGTTTTAACAAACAACAATTATAAGACTTAAGAATTGCAATTCTAACAATTATGAAAATCAAAGATTATCCTAAGCCTTTTTAAGGTTCATCGATAGAGGAAGAATTTATCCAACTTCTCAGTGTGCTTTGGAATTTATTACAATTGTTATAGATATAAATAAATGTATTATATAATTAGATAACTCAAATTCGAGTACACCTGATTAGTCTCTTCTAATAATGAATGCAATGGTGACCTGATAGGTAGTTTCATACAAAAAACAAAGGTCAATTTATTCATACTTTACGTTTTACATACGTTTTAGATACAATAATATCCATGCGTATATGATTCGCGATACTAAAATGCGATATTAACATGTTATATAGTTTTAAGAAAAATTCGAATATCTATAAATACAATTTATTGTATGTTTATATGTTTAGAGTGAATATGTATAAATATATGAAACGATATACAAGAAAATAACGAATATAAATTAATAAGTGAAATAGTGAGCTGTTGATTATAAGATTTCTCATTTTTCAAATACAATTTTATATTCTGGTGTCAACCATCGAATTAAATTATAATTATACATTTGTAACATAAAAACCTCAAACTTCATGATCAATCAATAAATAATAATACAAAAAAGTGATTTATTTTATTTAACAATATTTTTATTGTATTTTTTTTTTTAACATTAAATATTACATCAAATCGAATAACAAGATATAGATCAAGATACAATAGCTTATATTTTATTTGCTGCATAGCAAATAATAAATAATTAACTAAAACTAAATATAAAATAATTAATTTTTGATTAAGATTCATTTTACAATAATCTAAAATATATACACATGATGTATAAAAATAAAAAAGAACAATAGTGTACAATTAACTATTAAAATGTATTTAAGAGATTCTTTATTCTATTTGAATCTAGTTATTTCGGAGCTATAAGACCTTTCAAGCAATCGAAAGTATTACCATCTGGATGTACAGTAAATATTGTTCCATCTTCTCCTCGAACACGTAAATATCCATAATCATCTATACCTAATATTCTAACATTTTGTGTCACTCCCGTTATTGATAATACCGTTACATCTGCATCGCTATAAAAAATTGAAATAAATTTTAATATTTAAATAAATGATATTTTTAACATTTTGAAGAAATTCATATTAAAAAATGTCAAATTATATCACAAAAATATTCAATTATCAAATGATATAATAAAATATTTTTAACATTTTAAATAATTTAGAAATAAAATTTACGTGTGCATCCAATAAGTATAATATGCATCCAGAAAAACATCTATATCACCATCTTGTACAATATTTAACCATCTTTCAATTTCGTTAAATACAATAGCAAAGTACTGTTCATACGATATCATTTTTAATTTTTTATTATACATTTCATTAAATGCACAAACTATGTCATTAATGCAACATGTAGGTTCTTTATTAAATAAATTTATTCCAACTCCTAAAAAAGATTGATCATAATTATGCATCCAATGCATAAAGCAATGATTTTATAAAATGTATAATAATAGCATATACTTACCAACATTACAAATATTAAGATTTGAAATAACATGTGTCTCTATAATCATTCCTCCTATTTTTATATTATTACCGGCATAAATATCGTTAGGCCATTTTAATCTTAGATCAATATCCTATAAATAAAATTTAAAATATTAAAATTATTTTGTAAATAATTAATTCAAATATATATTCGTATTATTATTTTAAATAGTAACCTCATATCCTGGTAAAGACTTAAATGCAGAAATAATTGCAACAGAAATTAAATGTTGTAAAATTGAAATTCGTCTTCCAAGTATTGTATTAGTAGGCACATGAAGTTGCAAGGTAAATAGGGCAGAACCTTTTGGACTAAGCCAAATATTTTTGCTTCTTCCTTAAAATTAATATAAAAATCTTTATTACAATTATATGATAATAAAATGTTATCAACATAAAATGATTGAAAATGATTGAAAGCTAATACATTTATGAGATGCTACATACAATACATACCTCGTCCTTGAGTTTGCTGACGAACAATAACTGCTAAACCATGTCCTAATTTATAACCATTAAATACATCCATTGAAGATGTCATTACTTCTGCATATATTACTAAACGTCCTAATTCCTTTGAAGTTAAATTCTATAATAAAGTATAATATAACTATATAAGTATAATAATTAAAAAAATCAATAAAATAATAATTCACATTAAAAAAATAATTTTTCTATCTTTCAGTTATATATAAAAAAAACAATACCTCAAAATATTCTACAGTAGAGAAATTGTCAGGACACTGATGTATCATAATAGGAAGGAACGAAGATGAAGCTGGTTTTGGAATTGTACTACTCCTACAAAACTGAATTTCCAACTTAGGCATTTTTAAAGTATCGTTTGTTTTCATTATATCCTTTAATTTTTCCAACATTTCTAGTTTTAACTATAAAACACAAAAAAAACATATTTAATTATTCTTTTACTCTTATTTTTAATTAAAAATTTTATGATATAAATTTATGTTATATATGTAAATAATGATATCATTATAATAACGATATCAATTAAGTTATATATGTAATAATATCGTATAAATTAATACGACATTATAATTTTTAATAACTTTTTATAACCATATGTAATAATAATATAAATATATGTGTCTATTTTATACAATATATATATATATATTATTATAAAAAATTAATAAATATAACATAATAATAAAAAAAGCATTAATTCAGAAGCAAGCAATATATTGTGAATCAATAAAAAATAGTATATTTAGAATTATTTTTTAGCAGCAATTACAAAGAGGAGCATAATTTATTGTTAATTAATATATATAAAAGCATCAAAATTAATTATCAATCACAACTAAATTGTAACCTTGAAATTTTATATTTCCTTTAATAAGGAATGTTGAAAGACATCATGTACAAAAGAACTAATAAAAACTTCATGGTTGATTCAATAAATTCTTTTCCTTATCTCTTTTAATATCAAAGATATTATGCACAATAATTTTTATTCATCTATTCTGTATAAATAGTTTATGTAGAAAAAATTACCTACATAAAAGACATCATTACATTATAATTAATAATTTACTTGACATGAATTTTTTTCAGAAATGATTTATACTTTCATACCTCGTGTCGTCCCAAAAAGAAAGCTGATTTGTAAATTACAGATGGAGTAATTTGTAAAGTACTTCGAAATTCAATTCCCAGATGTACTTTTAACAGATCATTGAATATTTCTAATCTAGTTGCATTACTTCCTTCAATGCATTAAATTTACTTTCTTCAAATTCATATTGCATTGGATCCACTTCTAGATGTATTTGAGAAAATACAACTTTTCCACCACTTTCCGGAAGAGTCGCAAGTAAAATACTTGGAGTATGCCAAGTTTCTTCTGTTCCAAGTACTTTAAGATCAAACGAATGCGAATTTCCTTTTTTATCTTTCACATCTATCGACTCTGGAGGAGACACACTAGACATTCTGAAAAAATACTTTTAAAACATCTCGAGCCATCGTAACATTGTTATATTTTTACGCTATTTTCTACTTATATATATTATGTAAATGAATAAAAATTTTGCACGAATTTTTTTTTTTTGTATATTTAAATTTATAAATATATGAGAAAATAATCTTTAAATTTTCTTTATATTTTGATATAAATAGAGAAGAAGACAATCTTACTTTACGTCTTCATGATCCTGGGAAAATCTCGTCCTTACAGGAGATGCTTGATAACAAAAGATATGATGCATCATGCGTATATGCTTCCATTTTCCATAAGAAAAGTGAACAAGTTCATTTTCTCGCACTTCTGCCGTTTTAAATGATGGAAGTAAAATATGAATTACATCGGAACATAAAGCAAGAAGTTTGCCACCATGGAGAATATATTCCACAATTTGACTTCCAATTTCATTACCGACATTACCACAAACAACGACTAAAGCTGCATTTTCTATCCAAGCATCATTACGAGCTTCTTCTGGAGATAATGCATAAATGGTATATCTAATGATAAGAGAGTATTTTTTAATCTGATTCATTAGAATCTAATCATTGGAACAATACATTACTATTAAATATTTTATCAATATAAAATAATACGAAATCAAAAGATTTTTTAATCATATCATTATCATATTTTAATAATATGTGAAATGTTTAAAAATATTTAAAGCTAATATAGTAAAATAAATTATCATACTTATCCGTGCCAAGAGATTCTTCTAATACGCCTTTTACATTATTACGTGCAATCAAACTATCGGCATATATTAAAACATTTGGTTTTACATTTTTATTTGATAACTTCGTTGTTATTTCCGCCATAGAATTTCTATAAGATAATGTATAAATACTTATTAATTATAATTTTAAATTAATTAAATATAATAAGTATTTATATATATTATTGCGAAAGAGTTAGAACTCTTCATCAACTATCGCGTCACCAACTTTTTAAGTTCCTATCCATGAATTCCTATTTGTTTCCTCTATTATTATCACTACATTATCAAATTTCTATTTGACTATTTTTAGCTCATAAATATGTATATATATATGTATATATATATATATATATATATATATATAGTAT